GGGTGGAGGGATGGGGTAGGAGCTGAGGCTTTTCTGGGCTAATTACACCGTTGGGTAAGGACTGCAACTGCATGCTGTTTCGTGACCTACTTTGCCGCCTGTAAATTTATTAGCTGAAGAAATTTAAAAAGCTCTGTAAAAGCAAAAGTTCATTGCAAGGAATTTGCTAGAGCCCCCTCAGCTGTTCCGACGTTGCTTTTCAGGCTGGGATGTTTCCGTCGGGTACCACTGCGTGCTCCACTCAGCTTTGCCTCCTGCTGCTCCCCATCACACCTCGGCAGGTGGGAATGGGGCACCGTCCCCTCCGGCCTCTTGTACTCGTGGCCATGTTACAGAGGATTATAAACCCATTACAACTTCCCAGCACCACCGAGACTGGGGAAATGAAGCTAAACTGGTTTGTACTATCCCCGTCAGGCTGAGGTATGATGGGCAGGGGGATATTAGGTGATGCCATGTCCCCAGTTGCCTGTAGTCTGGGGTGCTCCGTGCAGTCGTGAGCCAAGGATGAGCTTGTGGGGAAGGAAAGATGAGAAGAAAGCACACGCTGCCTTAACCTTGAATTTTTTCTTGCAGTAGCGGAAAATTTGCACAGCCTCTGCACGCGTGAGAGGGTTTTTCTCTCCTCAGTAAATTTGCTTTTCCTATCCGCACCCTTTTTTGTCTTTCTTTTTGTCTTTGTTTTAATGACACAATAAAGGCAGGCTCTGGAAGCATCTGCAAACACCAAAGCTTTGAGCAGGAAGCTGGCGGTGCCTCTCCATCTTTTGTTAGCAGAGCAGGAGTCCCTGTTTTGCACTTACACCATGGCCTCTTCCCGCTATCTCTGCAGGGGAAGGGACCTTGACCTGTTTCATCCCCCTTCAAGACTTCCCTGGCCATGCAGGAGCAATACAAAAGCAGCCTGATTGCCAGTGAAAACTGGGCCCCCGTTTGATTAATATTTATCCCGTTCCCCGGAGCTACGCACTGCAGGCGTCAAGGTGACCAGGATCATGCACCTCCAAAAGTCAGTGAGACTTTTGCTGCTCAAAGGGAGCAGGACGGAGCTCCTGCTGCCCTGTCACTCGGGCCACCAATGGTTTGGCAGGGAGGCTGATGGTGGTGGGGGTCTTCTGCCCCTCTCCATCCCCTGCATCCCCATGGAGGGCCCACGATGGGCAATCTCCTTCTCCCTAGGTGACAAGGACATCCTCTCCACAGGAGCGGTGGCCTCTTCTGCGGGCTCTGCGACACAGCAGTCGGCTCCCCCGAGCCGGCAGCTCCATCACCCTTCCCATTTCCAAGGCTGGCAGTCCTGGAACTGCTGGGAAGAGCTTGGGACAGCGGGACAGGCATGGAGGAGAACTGGGGCAGGACTCTTTCACCCAGGGATAGCTAAAAACGGAGCAAAACCACACTGAAAATAACCATGTTGGTGCCTGGTCTGAACTCTCTCTGCCAAAACCTGCTGCACCATGCGGGCAGCCCACGGGAGGGCTCCTCCTGGACCCCTTCCTCCTGCCCAGAGTCCCCTTGTCCTCCTGCCACCCACCAGCCCGCGTTGCAGGCAAGTTGGAGTCGCTCCCTGAACCACTGGAGCAGCAACTTTATTCCCCCACTCCAGCCTAAGGGGATGATTTTGCCGGGGACACTGCGGTCCCGGTCACTAAGAAAAGCACCATCTCCCATGGGAGGTCTCATGTCAGCGCTGCACACAAAAAGCGTGGACGGGGAGCTCAGTGGAAACAGCGAGCTCTCAGAAGGAGCTGGGGTAATGGGGCAGGAAAGGGGGGAATTACTGACGTTCCCCAGTTCCTCCAAACCCGCAGACACTGGGCTCACTGCCGGAGCAGCGCGGCAGGGCTCAGCCTCCGGGAACAGACCCAAATCCCCACTACCCAAAACCTGCTCAATATTTGCATAGCTCCCAGCCACACACCGGGCAGCACAGAGCAATAAATTAACCCCACGGAGGTATTTCTCAGCTCCTCCTTCCAGCCACTGCATACAAGCGTTTCTTTTGCCTTTTTTTTTTTTTTTTTTTCCTCTGGCAAACCCGGGTTGTAACCCCAAAACCCCACTCGGCGGAAACTCCGACCCTCCGGCAGCTATCTCCGGCCCCAGCATCATCCCGTTCCGCACGCTTGAGAGCACAAGTGACGTGACCCCCGGGGAAGGGCGGAGAGGGGGGTCCCCGCTTACCGCTTGCCATTCGCCGGCTGCCCAGCGGTGCGTGGGGCACTCGGGGAGGTGGCAGTCCCGCTGCGCAGGGGGACGGCCGGCCGGGAGGAAAGGACAAGAAGGTGAGTGGCGGTCCCCGTCGCAGCCGTCACGGTAAGTTCCCGGGGTTCGCCCTCTGCTCTGGGCTCAACGGCAGCGACAGCGATGCTCTAACGCCGGCGGCGTTTAAACTTCCAGGTGGGGCTTTTCATTGCACGAGGGGAAAATTTTGCAAGGGCAGAGCAGACAGGCTGAAATCCCCGCTCCGCTGAAGCCAGCGGGAAGTTTTGCCGTTGGCTTCAGCGGGGTCAGGATTTCCCCGACAGGATTTATATTGCAAAAACCTCTGGAGAAAGGGGC